CCGTGCCCCGCATCGGTGACCAGCGCAGGCTGTGCTGTGGCTGTCACTGCGGTCGCCACGGCTGCTCTGACTGCTCCTCCAGAGCCAACCTTTTTAAACAAGCCGCCTGCGCTCCGCACCCCCTGGCCCTCCTCTTCGGTTCACCTCTCAGCCCGTGCCCTCTGCCTTCTTTATGGCCAAGGGCATGATGGCTCACGAGCCATAGCTGCAGCCTCTGACCCCTTCTCTTAGTGGTAACCGGAGTGGCCTTTGGAGAATGCAAATATTATCCCAACCCCTTAGAGCCCTTCGGTGCCCCCCCCTCCCCCGGGATGAAGTCCAGTGGAGGGTGTCCCTGTGCCATCTCCACTCGGGCTGCACCACTTTTCTCTCCCTTCACAGGTCCCTGCCCTCCTGCCCTGGGGAGACCATCTGCGAGGCCCCCTCTAGCTCTCCACTCACCAGCACCCCACCCACTCCCGTTCTTTTCTCCCAGGCCAGCTAGTCAGTAGGTTGGATGTAACGCAGACTCGCTGGATGCTCAGCAGTTCCGTAGTGAAAGAAATGCAACAGGTCCCATTGTCTCCTGCAGATCCTTCAAACAGATCTGTCTGCTGTCAGAACCTCTTCTGGGCGCAGCGACTTCTGCCTCGTGCTGTTCCTCTTTGCTAGTTTTAGTCAAGTGCGAGGAGTGTCACTGATGCTTAGGGTGTCACCTGTGCCAATAGCCTGGATCAGTGGTTCTCAACCTTCCTAATGCCACGACCCTTTAATACAGTTCTTCATGTTGTGGTGACCCCCAACCATAAAATTATTTTCGTTGCTACTTCATAACTGTAATTTTGCTACTGTTATGAATCGTAATGTAAATATCTGATATGCAGGATGTATTTTCATTGTTACAAATTGAACATAATTAAAGCATAGTGATTAATCACAAAAACAATATGTAATTATATATGTGTTTTCCGATGGTCTTAGGCGACCCCTGTGAAAGGGTTGTTCGACCCCCAAAGGAGTCATGACCCACAGGTTGAGAACTGCTGGCCTAGATGGAGCAGCGCTGCCCAGTAGAACCTCCTGTGATGATGGTCCACAGCCACGTGAGACCACAAGACACTCGAAATGTGGCCCATGCGACGAAGGGACTGTTTACATCTTATTTTATTGCAATAAAATTACATTTAAAGGCTGCATGTGGCTCGTGGCTACCGTACTGGATAGCACAGGCTCAGAGAGAGACTCAATGTAATACATTAAAAGAAAGTGAAAAGTCCTGAGGCATACACCTGGAAAACTCTAACATGGTTACTCTCCAATGGAGAAGTGGTGATATTTAAACTTTCACGAATGGACTGTAACACTGAGAAATGGTAATGTTCTTCTTAACTTTGGCTTTAGGGTTTGAGCCTCTACTGCCTCAACCAGATTCTCAATGTCAAAAAGCAGAATGTCTGTTTGATGAACTTGAGGACAACAGGAAGTTTGGGCAACCCAGGGTAAGATAAACACACCTTCCTCATCAAGTCTCTCTCTCTCTCTCTCTCTCTGTCGGGCTGCCCCCGCCCCCCCCCCCCCCCACAACAACACACACACCAATATGTATACTACACATACACACACTTCTATTAACTTTTCCCCCCCTTTTACCTAGACCAGTGGTCAGCAAACTGCGGCTCTTTGGCCCCTTGAGTGTGGCTCTTCCACAAAATACCGACTTCTGCGCATGGGCCACGAAGTTTCAATCGCACTGTGCGTGTGCGCCCACACGTGGTATTTTGTGGAAGAGCCACACTCAAGGGGCCAAAGAGCCGCAGTTTGCTGACCACTGGTCTAGGTAAAAGGGGGGGAAAAGTTAATCGTACAGTGTGATTGAAACTTCGTGGCCCATGCGCAGAAGTCGGTATTTTGTGGAAGAGCCACACTCAAGGGGCCAAAGAGCCGCATGTGGCTCACGAGCCGCGGTTTGCCGACCACTGACCTAGACCATCCCATATGGAACCCATTTTCTCCCTCAGCAGCATCGCTCACATACGTCTCTCCACATCACTATCTGACATGTTATTTTCCATGAAGTACTACATTTTATGAATGTAACATAATTCATTGACCCCATCCCCTAATGTTGGACATTTAGGTTGTTTGCAGAGTTTTGTTATTATTCTCTTAGATGTCATGGTTGTTAGGGTAGTGCTTTACTGTGCTCTGCGTGGTCACAGCCAGGTCTCCCTGTCCAGGTCTATTCCACAGAAAGGGGAAGAGCATGGAAGGCCTGGAAGTGGCACTTGACCCTCACTCACATTTTAGTGGGAAGGACTTGGTCACGTGGCCCCACCTCGCTGCAGGGAAGGCTGGGAAATGTGGTCCTGTGGGTGCCCTGGAGGAAGGAGGCAATGGGCTCTGGTGGAAAGCTGCCAGGCACTGCTCCAGGCTACCCTCTGCCACTGATACCTGCACGGACCTCCTCCCACCCTCCACACACACTGCCTCCAGCCCCTAGGCTGCAACCACAGCCCATGTGGTCACTCATGTACCTCAAAGGTCAAGATGTCCAGGTGCTGTACAGGCCTCTCTCTCAGGTCGAGGAGTGGCATCTCTGACTTACACACACACACACACACACACACACACACACACACACACACACACACACACACACACACACAGCAGGGCAAAATAACTACCACCACAACTCCCATTCGGGAAAGAGACATGTCCCTGGCCTGTGGTAGCGATGGAATACCCCTAGGCAACACTGGGACAACTGGCAGAGGGGGGTGTTCCTCCATGAAACCCCAGTTCTGCCACCCGGGAGTATCCTCCTTGTCTGTTACCCCCTTGGCCACGGAGGAGGCAGGCAGTGGGGAGCGTGCCCTGCTAGGGGTCAGGCAGCCTTTGCTGCCCAGTTCCTGCTGGTAACACTTGGGCTTTCAAAGGCCCTCATGTCTTTAAGGCTTCAGCAGGCTCTTGTGGGCCAGACTCATTTTTCTCTGGTAACAGCATTTTTCTCAAAAACCTAGTAGTCTTCTGATCTCTTTACCCTGAGTCAGTCCTGAAGCCAGTAGCCACATCCAAATTTCTTCCATGGATGGAAGCCGCAGGCTGTCTTATTTTTTGCATCCTCACCCCATCCATGCTCAGCTCTTTCCATCTGTTTTTGCATCAGGATTGGATCCTCTTTTTGTCTTAACGAGAGGCCTTTGTTGTTCAGGGCCTTACATTCTCCTCTGGCTTTTCCGTCCGTGTGCAGCCTTTAATCCCCAAATGCTTAGCTTCATCCCACCAACCTGCAGCTGTGCCAGTTCTCTCCTGCTTCACCTTTTTCATGTCGCACCAGCTAACAGCAAGGAGCCTCCCCTGCACCGGGACATGCTCACCATCCCCACAACTGCAGGTGTTGGCCTCCCAGGCAGCAGGTTCACAGGACCTCGAGAGCGCCCGGCCTGCTGTGTCCGTGTTCGTTGGCCCCTCCACACAGCCTCCGAGCCAGTGCTGCGAGCGGCCTATGTTAGCACCATTTCCAGCTCCTCCCCACACAGACTCTCTGCTGCTGTCCCCTTGTCCCTGCAGGTGGTCTCTGAGGCTCGGTGGGCCCTCGCAGGATGCCCCAAGTGCAGTTCCCTTCTTCAGGGTCTACTTCTGGCTTCTGGGAAGCACAGCTTTGTCCTGCTGTGAGTAGGAGGACAGCCCATTTCTGCTATGGCCCAACTGGCTGCTGTCGGGTAGCACCTGCCAAGCTCTTGCCTTTGGACTTTACGCCTGAGTCAGCTGTGTCTTTATGTTCCCACACTCCTCAGGACACGTCAGCCTCTGCTCCAGGTTCTCTCCAACACACCCAGCCAGGCCCACCACTCTCTAAGGAAGAGCCCCTTACCATCTCCTAATCAGTCCTGTAACCTTCCCCACATCTTACCTTTGAAGCGGGTGATGGGCTGGGTGGTGGGTGGTCATATGGCACATCTTTCTGTCTTGCGTGAATTATCTAACAGCCACTGGTGTCTTACCTTAGGCCTCCTTGAAACTCAGACGTTGGAGTTGTCTGGGACATGTCTTGTAACCTACACACATTTCCTCATAGAGGCACCAAAGCTCATACAAGGAATTTTATTAGAGCAGTGTTTTTATTGTTGTAATTCACATACCCTGAAATGTACCATTTTGTGGTTTTGAGAATATTCACAGGTTGTGCAACTTTCACCACTAACTCCAGAACATTTTTATCATTCCACAAAGAAACAGCATGCCCATTGATAAACACTCCCCATTCCTCCCTTCTCCAAGCCCCTGGCAACCACTAATCTACTTTCTGTTTCTATGGATTTATAACAGTTTCTTAAAATTGAAATATAAGAGTGTCTCCAAGTTATAAGTGTACAGCTTGATGAAGTTTTAAAAAATGAACATAGCATGTGACTCAAAAATAGCTCAAGAAGTAGAATGTTACCAGCCCCTAAGAACAAGCCTCCTGCTCGCTTCTAGTTATTAACCCCTCCCTGCCCCAGAGTAACGACCATTCGGATTTCCAATAGCCT